ATATATGTATAGGAAATGATATAAGCCTTCTACTCGCATAATGATTTACAGCACTTTCTTGATGTTTTAATGCTAATATTTCGGTATTTAGCCCAAAGAGGAAGAAAAAGTATCTTATTTTATTAAAATTTGTGCTAATCAATTGCTCTCAAAAGCCGCAGGTAACCCTTTTTCTTATAAGTGGTATCTCTCTGAGTGCAAGGGGAACTACAGTGTTACATTCAGGAGAAGTTGTTCTAGTTTTCCATAAGTCAATACTTCCGAGGGAACCATCGTGGCAGGAAGAAAGTTTGATTTTACTACTTAATTTGCTAGCTTAATAGATCCTATCAAAAGCTTCTCTACAAATGCTCTTATATGTATGTTTTTTTTGTGAGGCACAAAGGATAAGCAAAAAAAAGGACTTTTTTGCTAGCGAGCTTTCATGTTTTTTAAAAAAGTTTGAGTTGTTCTGTGCGAACGATCAATAAAGTTTGGACAGGTTTTGTTTTTTTTTCCTAAAATCTCTATTGCAAGTGAGACAGAGCCTTGCGTGGAGATCCATCCATTATAAATGAAAAAAAAAACGCGAGTGAAACCTTTAAACAATATTAGCCACTTTCGTTGCGCTATGTATGAATTTGTGAATCTTTCGTCTACAAGCTGAATTGTTGAATAGATTTTAAAGTAACAAAGTATGAGTTTCTGGTACAAGCAGATTCATTCAGATTTAAATAGATATTTTTGAGACAATTAGTTATAATCGTATGTCGGCATTGAAAGAATCAATATCAGAAAAACAATGAGGTAGACAGGTACCCTTGCGTTTAAAGCGCTACATTTTAGATTTATTTCGTCTTTCAAGAAGTATTTCAAAAAGTACAATGCCAAAGTTGAGGTGTGGAAGTTTTCAGAAGATAGTTATAATATTAAAGAATACTTGGAATTGGAATGAGGATTTCCTGTAAAGTCGTCAGGTAGTAATAACTCTGTCTGGATGACACTAGTTTTAACCAGCTCATATTGAAGGAAAGCCAGTAAAGTAAAGGAGGATATAAATTAAAAGTTGTGCCTTTGCAGCATAAATCAAACTTTTTGGGTGAGAGAAAGGAAGGGTTGTCAGTTATTAAGTAGTTATTAAAAACTTCTTCCAAATTTGACGATAGCTATGTAGTATAGTATTTGTGGACTCTTACTAAGATGTGAAATCGAAGTTCTCTACCAAATTAACAGCTTCTCAACATCTATAGTATGATGATGTGTAAGCCTGCATAGAATAGCAGGAGGTGTTGTTGCGAGGTCATTAGTTGTTCAAAATTATTCACCCCTTTCTCGCAGAGTAAATTTGGTTCATCTTACTGTTTCTGTCTCTCTTTCTCACTTTAGGGAAGGGGGGACGTTTATGAGACATCATTTATTACTACTAGTTTAGATTTCAGATGTTCACCTGCGCAATGAGCACATTAGCACCTAGTCGGTAGTCGTCTTTGAGGGCTTTCCTTCGCAAGAAGTCCATTTTAAAGTACTTAGTTTCCACGTCTGCCATTCTCATTATGTGACCAGCCCAAAGTTGTTTTGCTTTGGTAATACTACTAAGATGACGAAGACCGGATGTTATTACTATATCCGATTTGCAAGTCCTACAAGATGTTGAGTGCGCCGATTGAACTACAGTAAACATAACCGTTTCAATGCTCTATGAATTAATTGGAGATTTTGCTTGGCCACAAGTCTGCCTACGTCATCCTTTGCATAACTGAGCGGGGTAGAAAATGGGACGCAGCAAGCAGGTGGGCTTGAAACTTTGGTTCCTTCAGCTAATTGTGGTTCCTTAAAGACAGTGTCCGGGCAAATTTAATAATTTGAGTTCTCATTAGATTATGATGGCCGAGCCCCCAAACTAAGGTATTACGGAAGCTTAAGCGAATAATTTGCTGTGGTAAGCGAGAAAACCCCTGGACTCCGACAAGTCACTCCGCCCACTCTAGGCCACCCCTCCCACTCAGTGATTTCCTCCTCATCACCACCCGTGTTTGGCTTCTCTCTAAAGCAGCATTCTATAGCGAGAAAGGGCATGCAATCGTTCCGGGACCAAATGTCGAAAATTTGAAATTGCCCCCCTAACATTCGTCTTTGTCAATCAAAAGGAGGGCCCAAAATCTTTGTTTTTTTTGACAATTTCACGGTACCTGAGGTTGCTATTCGTGTACAGCACAACGAAATGTTTCATAAAAGATGGAAAACCCGGAATCGGAAATCTGCTCGAACCCTACCTAAGAGATTCGGCGGAACAGACTGTTTTCCGCCTCCTGTTTAATTCTTCATCCAAGTCTTGAATCATTCCTTGCATGAAACCCCTGTGACGAGTAAAAAGTCTCCTCACTCTTGCATAATCCTCTATTCCCATGGATGCAGAAGATGCATCACAAACTGCTCTTTGACCGAATGATTCTTATACTCTTCCTCACTTCGCTCAGTTCTTTCACGATAATGACTCTTCTTTAGTAGTACTCCTTGCAAAGAGTACAATGCATCCGCCAATAGAAATCGAGGGTAATCTCCCATCAGTTCTTCTACCTTCTTTGCCAGTCCAGTAGATTCACTTTTCATGACGACGATAAGGGTTACACGATATCGCTTGTTCAGCCAATTCGCAATTGGCAGGCTAAATTACGATGGAAAAGTCGTATTTTGCAGAGCAGTTCCGTACAAAACTGGCTCATCACTAGTTTGAGTAGCGCTGAGAGTGTGGTATCACTTTTAATGCTGTGAAACGCTTCTCATTATCGACGAAGGTTAGGACGAGATGGCGATATACTCTACACAGCTCGGTGATACTCGAAAACTAGTGAAAGTGGTCCACCTAGCTAAATCCAAGTTGCTCTCCAAATTTATGCAGCACTCTCGCTCTGCTATATGCGAGTGTTAAAAGTCGATATTTTTGAAACTTTTTTGAACCTTGTAAACTTATTTTCTTTAACTACTCAGACTACTATTTTGAATTGCACTAATGGCGAAAATATCTAGCTGTCACGCGTAGTGAATAAATTAGTACGCCTACTTCCAATCCTACTTTTGCCAACCATTAATTTCAATAAAATAACAGAATGTAATGCTGGCTTCGTTCATTTCGAACACAAGATGACAGATTAAGCTTGATTTGAAGTATTTGATTGTCTTGAAAGAGAAGTGAACAAATGTTTGTATTATAACTGCTGTCACCACCCAATTTTGTTGGGAAGGAACTTAAGCATAGAACATTGTTGCTCGATGGCGTTTGATGCGGCTAACCCTTTCAAATGCACCCTACGATAGCATGTAAACTTCAGCCTCTTAATCTTCGAACAGCCATTTCAACCCATGAACGCTTCAGAAACATGTTCACGCAGATGGCACGCTGGATTTCACCTGAGACGTGGCGCAAGTTTGAACTTTCATTTAACAAAGCCTACAGGACATGGGAAAAAAGATTCAGATGATGGAGAAAAGCATCAAATAATCTTTGTGAACCGCTTATAAAGCATGCCCACCAAGCAACTGTGGTTCAAGGTAAAATGTCCGTTGTGAAGGTCTTCCACAAGAAGGGCGAAAGGGAGGATTTTGGGAACTGCTTGATAATGGTACACTTGAGTAGTATGCCAA